AGCGAGGAAAAGGGACATCTATCCCTTAGTTGTTTTATTCGAATGATCGAATTGAATTAATATCGTCACATATGTGGTGATCGCTCCTATCATACTGAATAGCAACGGCCAGTCGAAAGGAAATAATTTACAGGTAGCTACTGGAGAATATGCTTGAATTTGGGCAGATAGGTGTGTCAACTGTTTGTAAGATAAAAAAAAGTATTTTCATCAATGAATTAGAACCATCAAAAGTTGTTAGAGGATAAGACAAAATCCATTTTTACAAATGATTTAATGGGAATGAAAACAAGACATTGATTTGATTCTCTATCCATACGAAAGCACAAAAATAATCCCTTGTTTACGTCCTCACCAATTCAATTACTGTGTGATGTAATGTAAAAAAATCTCACCGACATATTTACTTCGGCATCGTCACATCGATTGATTATATCATGAGCTGTACGTGAGGTCTCTTTGCCCTGTCGCAAAATAAGTTCGGAAATAGCTTTAAAATTTGCAAGCACATGTTTAAAACATTGAAATTAACATACTTTCGAAGCCACAGTATTTCCGATGTATATCACCATCAGAGCGTATATCAGGAAAAAAATCATCAAATACAAGTTAACGTAAGACAAAGACTTGAAATATTCATTTTGTTCAAGAACATAGCGATAAAATGAGTAAAGTGTAATGACCGACAGCACAAACGTTGCTCCAATCACCAGCATAACCTATGAAACGGTTTTTATACAGTTGACAAATAGTTTTTCCTTTTGAATTCTCGAAATGTATGTGATTTATGTCTGATCATTTTATAAGTTAAACCCAAAAGGCCATGGACAATTTTGGCATAAAATTTAAAGGGCTAGCATATCCGCTGGGTATCGTTTCAGTCGGTTGATATTGAACCAAAAACACAAGTTCTCAGCGCTTTCAACGCTTCAAACAAAACCGTTATGAATCCTAGGGGCTAACCACGGTTTTAAAAATAACCAATAATGACCGACTTTAACATTTTTTATCATTTAAACAAATAAATTCCGATATGATCACATTTTGGTCGATTTTGCCCGATTTTTGCAGTAATTTTTTCGCTTTAACGAATGCATACTGTTCTAGAAGCGGGTTTTTTTTTTTGGTGCATCCTCAGGATCGAAAAATATTTTATAATAAAAAAAAGTTAGAATAAAGTTGTAAATTCAATTTCTCAACACACAGTTTATAAAAAATATTTTGTTTGCATCAATAAAACTTAGGAAAACTACAATTATTTCACTCCAAACGATTTCCACATGAAATTTGAAACAACAACACACTTGTCCCTTGTCGATAGGGCGAATAGAGTGTTGTAACGAATTTTCGTTAGATGTCGCTGTTAGTTTCGAAGTTTCAAACTTCAAATGGGAATCGTTTGCAGTGGAATAAATGTTGTTTTTCTAAGTTTACTGATGCAAATAATTTTTTTTTATAAACTGTGTGTTGAGACATAGGATTTACAATTTTATTTTACCTTCTTTTTTTATTCGAACATGTTTTTTCATTGAAACAAGTCAGATTCATAGCGGATTTGTTTGCGGCGATGGTAGCGATTCAAGCGGAATATGAACGCTACTAAAGCGGCCTTTTAAATTTTATGCCAAATTTCATAGTTCGATTGTCAAACATATTTAAAACAAGAGCTGAACCTGTATTGAAAAACAGAAATTGAGCAAATTCATGATCCCAGTGAGTAAATCATGATATCGTCCAATGCTTTTGATGAATGCGATAGATTCAAATTTACGTAGGTCATTTGGCAACTTCAACACTTTTTGGTCAGCAAAATGCTTTCTGTAAAAATATCGATGCTCTAAAGAAAGAATTGAAAAATAGAGATAAAAATGCTTCACAGTAAAGTGAATGAAACCTTAACAAAGAGTTTAAGACATCAAAGCGAGTGCAAAGATAGAACGTCACGATGAAGTAATTCGTCAATACTGTTGCTGTTACAAAATGCTGGGCATTATGCGA